CCAATATAACAAATTGCAGACACAAATACCGTGTTAAAAAAGAATAAGAAGAAAAAACAAGTCGACAGCCACTCCTAACAGATGGCACAAACTATGGGAGAGTTCAACAAGCACAGAATTGAAGCCCTATTGCCTTGTAATGCTGAGAGTTAGGTAGGTATTCCGTAGGTGGAAAGATATCTGAAATAGAACAGCGGTGAACTGGAAATAATAAAATCAAGGAGATTTAGAGATGCATGAAGAGATGGTGAAATAAATTTACAAGATGTAGATTTCCTCAATTAAAAAGATGAACCTATACAAGTGAACCGTCAATTGTACAAATTCTCTTTCTCCTGCTTTTTAGCAAGTGAATCTCTGATCTGCTGCCAATGACTGGTAAATAAATGAAAATTATGCAGTCCATTAAACCTTAAGCCAACAATACACTCTTGAAATAACTCTATGTACGATACCATAAAGTTAGAAAGGTGACATTGTAACAGAATAATTTCCATAACTATGGATGGTGGTCAAAGACTAAAAATGCCATCATTAAACCTCCATTTAGAATAATACATCTTTAACTTCTTCTGTTAGTGAGAGCAATTTGGAATTTTAGACACAGTTAATTTCTGCAGAGAAAATCATATTGATGTTGCATTTTATGTGACTAGGAAACTTCTTAAGGGCATCATGGTATCAGCAGATACAGAAGCTCTTATATTATACTGGCATCTTAATGATGGGTTAGGAAACCATTTTCTGAAATTATTGCTACTGCATTTGATGTAATCAATCTCCAACCAATAAAACAACCTTTATACTTTAGAGAAAATATGTGAATATGCAACAAAATGATTTACTTTCACTCTCAATGCCTCTAGCAGTTAAGGAAGAAAGGATTTCAATCACCATCAAAAGAATAACTCAATCAGGAAGGACATGATTCATAAAATCATTTGGACCGTGATGATACGTTTCACTGGTTTGTTGAACAATCACTCGGTATCTCAGTATAACACGGTCCATGAAGCCAATACTAGCATCAAAATTGCATACATTACTGTAATTTGGCCGGATAAGCTTGATTTATAAGTTTGTCAAGAAGCAAAAAATAGAAAATAAAAAATCCAAGGAGAAATCTAGAAACCATCTTGTGCTAAAATAGCTCCACTACTTCAAGTCAAGATCAATAAATAATTCAGATCTTGATAAACAATGCCCGAAGTGAGGTAATGATGATCATTATTTCTGCATTTGCAACTTCACAATCCTTTTTCATATTCCGGCATAAGGATTGAATTGATAAGTGATTGCTTATTGCAAGAAGCAATGAGGAAATTCAGTGCGAAATATACAGATATCTAAGCCTGAAAATAGCACATTATTACAAATATTATACCATATTGCATAGCAACCATGTTACTTATTTAATAATCTTATACTCCCACAAAAAATTAACTCCACAGAAATATTGATAAACACCAATAGTATTACCACATCAAATCCATAAGTTTTGGCCCAGTTAATAATTAAGAAAATTGACATGCAATGCAAAGGAAATGAACAGAAAACTGTAATATATACCTCAACTTCCAAGACATTAGATGAAGAATGAGAATAAAGGAATGGTTGGCAAAGACGTCTAAACCGTGACTCCCCTTCACAATGAACAAAAACTTCCATCGCAAATGAAGGAGGCGATGTTGCCCTGAACGGGGAATATTATCATAAGCAGGCAACAATAAAGACATTTTAAAATTTTGAATGGCAAACCAAGAGAAATATTGATGTTTCTCTTTGCAATACCATGCACAATTTTTTACAATTTTTATATTGAATGATTTACAGCTATAGAAAGAAATGTTTAGATGAGAACTGATTGTTTCAACAGTTGTAATATCCCAGTGCCAACTAATGGAAAATAAACCAAAATATCCAGGATTAAACAATAAGAGCACTGAAACTAGCTAGCATTATTCGTCTACAACAGTGATCATTTACAACAAATAAGATCCTATGATATGAGGGTAAATATACATCCCACATCTAATGGAATGTTTGAACAATCTCCTGTCTCAAAACACACACTAGTATGTTGGTGTCTAACAATGTTTTAGAAAGTGTTGGGCACTTCTAGGAGCCGGACCAAGAGCCCAGGTGCCTAAGCGGATGCCTAGGCCGTACGTAAGTGTTTTTAGCATCAAGAGAGGAAGCATTCTTCTTGCTGATTCAAAATCATATATCGTTTACCTAAGATGGACTTGAAGCATGTTTGGCAACTGGTGCGAGTGGCTTATAAGCTAGTTTTGTGGCTTGTAAGCCTCTAAGACATGTTTACCAAACAACTTAATTTGGCTTAATAGCCAAAAAAAGCTAGGGTAACCCAGCTTATCTTTTTGTTGTCATATTAGCCATATAGTTTGATCGAGTAAAAGACCACTTTACCCCTTAGCATTTAAAAAAATTCCAAAGCCCTCTTCTCTATATCTAATACCTTTTTGGTCTTTTTGACAACAAAAATGGATTATAAGCCACTCATTTGCCAAACACTCTATCATTGAAAATGGATTATAATCCACTAAATTTACCAAGCGCTTTGGACTATAATCCACATAACTTATAAGCCACTTGTGGATTATAACCCAAGTGGCATATAATCCAAAATTGTCAAGCATGCTCTTGGATGTAGAGTTTTGACATGATCCAATTTGACTTGGCCCATTCTGTTCATCTACTGCTATGCCTAAGCGAACTTCGTCCCTTTTTGATCCGGTGCAATCCGCGCAAGTGGCTCATGCTCCTCTAGGTGCTTCCAAGACCTAGACAACGGCCTAAATACTGCTTAGGTCTAGGCTAGCGCCTAGATCGCTTTTTAAAACATTGGTGTATTGCACTTTTTCAGAGACTTAGTTTGTTTCATTGTCTTTAGTTAAACGATGTATTACACTATCATTCTTTTTCCCGTCAAGACATGTAACATATCAAGTTCTTGACTTTCCAACATTGCAGCCAAATTTGAGGGTGACTGTGTAAGTGCATGTCAATTAGCTTAGTGTTTGCATGGGGTATGTATGTGCATGCATTTAAGTATGTGTATGTTTTCACGAAATAAACACACATAGTTCCTTTAGCATTTGCAACTTTAGCAGTATCATAGTTCCTTTAGCATTTGCACGATAACTCTATATTCTTGAAGGGAAGATTATAAACGCTGAAGATAACATACTCTATTTGCTTTAGTCACAACATTCGCTCCTTACCTTGACGCCCATTTAGCAAAAAATGATATCCCAATTTGAAGTAAGTAGCATTTTCAAAGTAAAATGGCATGAACACGAGAAATCGCAATTATCACAAACTTTAGTCTAAATAGATGCAAAATTCAACTATAAAGACCTCAGTATCTGCTTCCTTCTTCAAATCAATCTAACAAAGCATATGACTAGCATGTTACAAGAAAAAAATATGAACAATGGAAATCTTAATTTTGCCCACAGAACTTAAAGGAATAGAAAAGAACAAAACAATGTCCTACCCAACAAGTGATACGGAAGGAGTAGACACGGTTGCATTCTGCTCAAGAAACTCACAAGCCGTTACAACTATTGGTTCCGCGAACAATACCTACAATGAAAGAAAGAATGTGTTATATATTTCTTTCATGATACACATATATTTCAGTAAATTAGATGGTTTCATTTGACTTCTTCAACCATCCCTGTTTTGCAATTCAAAACAACAACAAAACTTTTTCCCCCTCTTGGTTCAACTTGGCTCAGCTAATTCCATTAGCCCTATTTTTTAAAGGTAAGGTACAAAGAATAAATACTGCATGGAATCAAACAAATAAAAGGAGAGATGGATTTCATTCTTAATAAAAGACAGATTTTTTCCCACTGTAACAAAACTGAACCAATCATCATAATGAAAACATTGAAAGCAAGCTTCATGGTAGCATCCTTACAAGTATATGGAAATCTAATCAGCGTTTCATTTCAATGACAAAGCAACTAACCTCATCCACATACTCATCCAGCTGAGGATGAACAAAGGTTTGCGCAAAAAGGATGCAAGGCTCGGGGCGACGACCCATATTCCCTAATTTAATACTGTGACTTGTTGACTGCACATAGATACAGGATTTAACTGGTAAAATTACGCAAAGTGTAAAAATCTCCAACACAATGTCAACAAGATCAATAATTTCATTGACTGTACCTTGCGCAGAACTTATCAGTCAGTGAATCATACACGACACAACCAGAAACCAATCTTCACTAGAAAAAATTCAAAATAAATACAAATTGTTCATGTTTCATGAAGGAACAGTTAGGGTTTAGATTGAGCAGATGAGGTGCGACTTTACCTTAACGGATGAAGAAATTGCAATCTAGGGTTTTCAACAGACGAAGAAAGGGAGAGCTGAGATTTTCCCTCTTTTGGTCTTCTCCCAACGGAGGTTTTAGGGAGGTGTGTCGCAAAACAAGACTAAAACCTATAGAAATTATACGTGGGGGTGAGGAGGCAATATCGGGTCGGATCCGCTCCAAATCTACGGCCACTCGGGATTTAGAGTGCAAACGGGTCAGGTCGTACAAATTGACAAGATCCAAGTAAGGATTTCTAGGAAAAACTTTCGATCCGCACGAGGGCCCAATAATTATAGTCGGCTTACCGCAAATGTCATGTTTGGGAACAAAAATAAAATAAAACGCTCAGCTGCAATAAGAAAATTAACTTACCTGAATACTTATGGAGTTAATCCATTTGGATTCTAGACTAAAACCTACGCGGACTCAGGATTTAGGGTGCAAACTGGTTGGGTGGGTAAGGATTACTAGGAAATCTTGTATCCATTTGATAGCCCAATGATTATAGGCTTACGACAAATATTATGTTTGGAAATAAAAAATCATATCATATCATATCATATCATACTCCCTTTAAAAGCACGAGTTCGAAAAAATCTTTCGGTAGACAAAAATACCCGTGGAATTCAAATATTAATCCATTAAGTAAAAGTAAGTTGATAAATTGATGAATTCTTATTATATATACATAGTATAAAGATATTGATATAGTTTAAATTGAAATATAAACCTGAATGAAATTATTAAATGACAAATTTACAAATGTCTACAGGATGAAGGGCGTATATGCAAGTCGAACCTAGTAACAACGCAAACCTATAAATGTATATAATATGGATGAGATATTTGCAAAATACACCAAACAAATTATTGAGACGAAAATCATTCTCAAAATTATAAAAAGGGGAAATTAAAACAAACAGTTGCGATATGAGGACACAACGTGAGGATCTAACACCTACTAAAATTCAAGTAGCTCACGGTACTATATAATTAGTTTTAAAGTTTAATTATACTATTATTATCTAAATAGAATTTTATTTATAATTGTTATCCTCTCACATGCAGTATCACATAGCAATATATATAAGCTAAGAAATTATAACAATTTTCATAGCACTTTCATCTCCTTCTATAGATATGTGCCTTTGTTTTATTCTTTTTATTTTATTAGATTAGATTATTTTAAAGCAATTAATCATATTGTATATTTAATCTTTTTCATTTTAAGAAATAGGAACAATTTTCATAGTACTTTCATTTATTTTATTCTTATTAGATTAGACTAGATTATTTTAAAATAATTAATTATATTGTATATTTGATTTTTTCATATCAGAAATTATAACAATTTTCATAGCACTTTCATCTCTTTTAACAGGTATATACCTTTGTTATTTTCTTCTTATTAGATTAGATTATTAAATTAGATTAGTTTGTTTAAAAATTATAAATTATGAAATTACAATTATTTTCACACCACTTTCATCTATTTCTTCTTATTAGATTAGATTAGATTATTTTAAAGCAATTAATTATATTGTATATTTATTTATTTTTTAAATCGCAAAGTTTAATAATATTATTATTTAAATAGATATTGTTTGTATAAAAGTCAAAGAGAATCTCACACATATCTTAGATCTCAATACCAATTGTAATACTTACATATATGTGTTGGTTAAAATAAATTTCATATATGGGCTTAACTTATATGATCTTACTCTAACCAATTAGATAAGTTAAATTTTTTACACCCAAATTCTTTCACAAAACCAAAAAAGAGTAGCAATGCTATAGCTATATATATCCACAAACCATAGATATCTTGAAAATGAACAAAGAAAACCACATAAACAAAAACCATATTAATTACCCCCATATATCCATTGTTTTCAAAACCATTATTCTCAACACATTTCGTCTCTGATGCGTATCAGTTATGAGTAATAATATAATTTGATTGATCCAAGTATATTCTAATATATTTCTAGACTCTTGCCTTTTCTTTTGCTCTCTATGATATACCAAGCTGATATCACAATTGATGTAGACGATGAAGACTCTACTGTAAAATTGCCCAGAAAAAAGGCGAGGATGGTGAATGATTGATATCAGCTCAACTAAATATGAAAAAAAGGAATAAAGGATAATTTTTTAAGTAGTTTATAGTAAAACTTAATTTTTTGAGTAAAATTAGGAATATTTAGAAGTAATTTTCATACAAATTTTTAATATGCTTATGTGAATGATTTTATCACGTAAAATTATACTAGAGTCATCATTAATCTTTAGTATTTATTTTTTTTTATTTTAAATCTATTAATAATTAAGATGTCTTGTAGTCTTGTGAAAAGTATGTGCTATGTACTAAGCTTATACAAACCATGTTAATATTAAGTATTTGGTTATATTTTTATTAACACATCAAAAATATATTATTGTATTTTTTACAAACTTAACACTACATTTAATGACTAAGATAAACAAATTGGAGATCGGTAATTTAATTCGATAAACAAACATGCTACATGAAGTTTAATATAATTTAAAAAATAAATGTTGTGTATGCAAATATATTAAAGTAGGTTACATGAGGTACCTTTCTTTTCTTAGACTGTTGTGACTTTGGATCTTTCTGGTTTTGTGTATTAGGGAAGTTTTCATATAATTGGGGCGGTCTGTTAGGCGCATGATAGCAAGCGATCTTCTTGCTATCGTGCTCCTCTGCCTGGATTTTCATGACGAAGAAGAAGAGATCTAGTACAAAGAGAGTTCAAAGTAGTGAGTTGAGAGATTCCATCTTCACCTACGCTGATGCTGGAGTCTCATCGTCTACTGGAGTTTCCTATTCTAATGCTGCCGACATCAATGAAACAGTAAATTCTCTGTTTCCTCAAGAAATGGAAAGTACGGGTCCTAAAGGAGCAAGGAAGAAGATGCTGATTGAGGAAGTTATTGCCAGATCTAAACCTCTGTCCGATCCCCAATCTCCACAGCTGAAATCTGGTATGATGATCCCTCGTCAACTAAGTAAATCTCCAAATTCTGTCCAATGGTCAGTTGAAGTTGAAGATGCGATTGATTCAGATCTAAATGAGATAATAGATCATAATGTGGATTTCAACTCTGATGTGGCTGAATCTGATAAAATTTTAGAAAACAATATAAATCTGGAAAATGAAGAAAATGAAACCTCTGTTGAAAATCAAGTGAGAAATGTTATCTTAAAGGAAAATGGATCAGAATTGAAAACTTTTGCTAGCTTATTCTCTGACAATAGAAAGCAAGGTAATGGTTTGTCATTGAATTTTATTCCATCTGCTCAAGGTCATTTTGTATCTTTCTCGGAATCAGAATGGAAAGAAGGTGAAGATATTTGGAAATTTTCTCTAATTGGTCATGTTATTGGATTAAATGTAAAATTTAATTCCATGGAAACCTATGTGAACAAGATTTGGGGAAAAAATCTCAATTCCTAAAGTCTACTTGATCAAGCAAGGGGTTTTCCTTTTTGAATTTCATACTAAACAGCAAATGGATGATGTTCTTGAGACTGGTCCTTGGTTCTTTGGCTCAAGGCCATTAGTTTTGAAACCTTGGATAATTGACACTGATGTTGAAAAAATCCAGGACTGTACTTATCCAATGTGGGTTCAATTACCTAATTTGAGGCTAAACTTGTGGAGCTCTTTAGGTATAAGTAAGATTGCTAGCCTCATAGGCAACCCCATCACTACTGATAAACTCACTGCTATGAGACAAAGACTGTCATATGCTAGAGTCTTGCTTGAACTTGATTTCCCTTTAAAAGAGGCCTTGCCTGATCAATTAATCATTCAAAGTCCAGATGGAAAAAATATATTCAGAAAGTGGTTTATGAATTAAAACCAAGATGGTGCACAAATTGCAAAACAGTGGGACATGAAGTTGATCAGTGTAGAAGATTAACAATGAAGAAAATATGGGTTCCAAAACAGTCTGCTGATAATGTACCTGTTTCTGGAATTGTTCATAATGCTCCTCAGGATGTTCAGATACCTGAACAATCTACAAATGAAATATCAGATCAAATTTCTGGAGGAGAGATGGATTTATCTGATCAAGTTTCTAGAGGGAATCTGTCCAGAAAACATGCACAAACAATGTTGTGCACCAGCAGCCTGCATATTGATAAAGGAAAATCTACCCATGATATTGGTCACATGATGAATTCTACAATACAAAATTTATCCCCTTCTGTGAATGTTAGTGACTTTACAAGTGTAAACAGAAATCTTATAGCTAGAAGATCACCAATGGATAAACATTCCTCTCATATTCAAGCTTCACTATTCTCTTTACTGGATCATAGTAATGAATTTGCTCCCTCAAGCATTGATAGGGGAGGATCCTCTCAATAAATGCAACTAGCAATCTGGAATGTTAGAGCATCTCCAACAGTTTCTCCATTTCCTACTTTTGGAGAATTTAGTTAGGTTTTTGGTCCAACAGATTCCCCATCTCATTCCCCAAAATAGGGATGGAGGAGAAAAAATAGGGAAGCTTCCCCAAATCTGTAGCATTCTCCAAATTTTTGGAGGAAAAAATGGATTCTTCAAAATGGGGAAGCTGTTGGAGTTGGTGTAAAAATAATTTGGAGAATATGACTTTTACTTCTCTATTTTAGAGAAAATTTTAGAGAAGCTGTTGGAGATGCCCTTAGAGGTTTAAATAAAACCTCTAAACATATGTTAGTGAAGCAATTTGTACATGATTATAAGCTTGCATTTATAGCTCTTCTGGAAACTAAAGTTGCTAGTGATAAAATGAATACTATAGCAAAGAAAATGGTTAAAGATTGGGATTGGATTTCTAATACTCAGCAAGCAAGGAATGGAAGAATATGGATTCTCTGGGACAGCAATATCCTATCAGTCCAGTGTATTTCTTCCTTAGACCAGTATGTATCATGCTCTGTGATTTCCAAAGATGGAAAAATTTCATGCATTGCCACTATAGTCTATGCTCTTAATGATCAAGAAGGTAGGAAAAATCTTTGGCATGACTTGTTAAGTTTCAAACAAAGTGCTAATTCTCATTGGTTTGTGGGTGGAGATTTCAATACCATCACCAGTA